GTTCAGCGCGATAGTTTTTCGCGCTGGGGTCAAGGTGATGGATCCTTGACGAATCGAACAATCGTGTTCGATAACGATCACTCGTCGTCGCCGACAAGTGATCCATGAGTGATTTAGGGGCATCCATGCCTTCTTTTCAGGAGCGAGACGCAACACATTGCGGTCCCGCTCTTCCTGCGACGTGCCGACAGAAGTACTGGCACCTCGCTGTGAAGTGGTGTCCATAGGAGAACCGACACCACTGTTAGCGCCCGAGTCTCGCGACCTCGAGCGCCTTCGCTTCGGCGATGGTTCATCTGATTCATCAGATGAACCAAAGATGCTACGACGCATAGCATCGTCCATGCCACGCTTGGCAGGCGGCTTGGATTCAATCGCCGTCGATACGGATCCGTCATCCGTATCAGGAGAGTATGAGACACCGAGCTCATACTCTGTGAAGACATGAGTGTCTTCATGACCGGCGCCTGCATCACCAAGTGACACAGGCTGGGTCGCTTCAGCAACCGATGAGACATCAGTTGCTGTGGTTTCTGCTTCGGCGTCCGCACAGAGACGTGCAGACGCGCTCTCGGCGGCCTTGCTCGCGCATCGCATGGGCTTGTTAACCATGCGATGAGATGTTGGAAAGTGGACGCGGACCAACAAGTGCAAACCCTGTCCCAAATGATTTGGGACGAGTATCCATTTAGTCAATCAGTCACTAAAGTGACTGATGGTTAAGGGGGGGTGATGTAACGGGGTGAATTATACATAACAATTTTTAAAATATTGTTAATTGAATATAACTATAAGAGTTATATTCTCAGAATATTGTCATAAGGACAAATATTCTGTAGCACTTACGAGTAGTTCCTAGCTGGTTGATATAGGCCATTACATCAACCAACGAAGACGCGCCACGACAGACGCACGCAATGAGTGGTGAGCAGATAGTTGAAATGCACATTTGTATTCAGACATAGTTAGATGAAGATAAACAGTGATTTATTGCAGACATTAACTATACTAAATACAGTTCTACTTTTTACTTTAACCAAGTACTCGCTTCTTCTTACCGTCTTCCTCTGCACGTACGAGTGTACGTGAAGTTACGAGGCACCGCCTTATTCTGTCATCAGAATAAGTAGCTTGTACTGTCACCAGTACAAGCTTCAGGGTGCCCCGTTACAATCATCTCCGCTAGTCCCGTCAGTAGGTCCACCAACTTTTTTCTCTGTGTTCCATATCATCGCCTATGCCTTGACTTCTAAGTCAGCGCCTTGTATACTGCTGTCCCTTTCGCGATCAGCCTCTGTTCTTGTCCCCGCGGTTGGTTCCATACCACAGGCGGCATTATCCATCGGGCTTACAACCTTTTAGATCAGAAATATGCCGATGCAAATGCAGAAGTGTTCATGTCGTTACCAGGATGCTATCATGCTTTTATTTCTTCGACACCAACTATTTTCGCCCTGAATTTACTACAACGTCCCAGAATATAAACTGCCATTCAACTAAAGTAGTCGGCCGACTGCCACGTATTGCAGCAAATACCGCTTCTTCAACATAATGTTGGTGCGTAATTTACGTATTTATGCTACCAAATTTCCAGATGACGTAATTTAAATGCTTTTGATGACATGTGTATCATCACAATGAGCTAATGTCAAGCTTTCAGTCGCGAAAGATAAAAACGAACGAGACAGATTTACGTGTTTCACCGGACGTATGCATAATTTCGACGTGCGCCGCAAAGCCAATTATCTCTTGTAACATCAGCTTGTACTATGAAACTGAATATGGATCTATCAATCTAGTCTTCTATGTATCTGTTGTGACCAAAATGCGGACTCTGTAACACTCGAATGTAAACAGCGTATACATGAGGTAATGGACCATCTGCAGCAAGATGTAAAGCTTGCCACTGATTTTTCTTTACATGCAACAATGACGCTTTACATCCGCCGGCCATAGTGGTTTATTGTAAGTAGTCTAACGCACGAACTTTATTATTCAGGATTATAATCGGGCAGAAATAAAAGCTTTCAGTCAAAAGCTTGAAACCAGTTGGTGAAAGGCACTAAATTCCTCCCTTTTCTCGCCCAGATTACACAAGCCTCAAGCCCAAAATTGTCGCGACTAAATACTTGTTTCATAAAGTGCTTCGTTGTTGACATATTCGAAGGATATCTTCACGTACAGTCCCATTATATTGCGGTGTTCTCGTGACTTTCTCTGCCATTCAGGTGAAATACAATAATCTACAGTGGCCGTCCGTAGGTATGTCAGTCACCCAAATTATGAGATTATGCCAAGCGGACCTCGTTTTTGGTCTTTTTGCGCATCAAACAAGTTCTCCAATCGTGATTATCTTGGATCAGACCGTACTCACCTCAAAGACGTTTCTTCGTTGCATAAATAAATGATGATAATTCACGCTTTGTAGAATTCTTTGATTTTATTTATGGCATCAAACGGTCGACCTTTCGGCATTTCTACTATTGGATTCGAAAGCGAAGGCCTCTTTCCTGTACTGATATCTTTAATTTGAATTGTGTCTATACTCTGCTGAGCGAGTGGCCTTTTTACGTAAACTTCTTCAGGGTTCTAGATTTGCTCTTTGAGGATACCACGATGGCCAAAACACAGTTTATCCACATCTTTCTTTGCGTCCGCAGAAATGTAGTACAACCGCCAGTGATGCGCAATTTAATCTAGTGAAATGAGTCCATCACCTGCTAAGGCAACATCATGCGCGCATGGCAGACCTAACGTGCGTCGAAACATGCCTAGGCAAGTCGACATTTTTCCCTTTTAAATCATGTTAGACGCTAAACCCAGCTGTTCTTCAATAAACCTTGAATCACAATGGCTCACATATCCAACAACGTGCTTGAATATAGGGGTAGCTCTTAGATTGTGGGCACCGACAACTTCTCATCAGCTTCAGCAGCATATTACTCTTTGACTTAACGTTCGAGACAGAATAAAATGCGTTCTTGCACTGCAAAAAAGTCTCATGTGCTTACTTGTAGATTTTCTTTCAAGGCTGCATGTGCAACTTCAACGGCAGATGTCGCCATGTTGCAAAGATTTTGACAACCAGTGGTCCAAGCTGCTACGTAGTTGTCGTTTATATAGAGCCAAATTCGATTCATGTACCTTATAGGCAATGGAGTGTCAATTAAAAACTCCTTCCCAAAATGTTTGGGTGCGCCAGACGTTTGCCAATGCCTTCGTGAACTGTGTGCGACACAAACTATCCTGTATTTGTTTCTCGGATTGAGCGAGCAAATTCTTTTTGATGTGTCAAGCGAAAAGAAGATGACGTGAACTCGGAGAAACATGAGAGATTGCAGCAGAAAGTCCCTCGTCTCCGTCAGACACACGATCGATGGGATCTTGCCTTTACATATTTTTCCAGGCTCAATTGGTGCCCAAACGCAATCATAAATATCTTCAACACTGAGAAATATAATAGAAATTGTAAAGGATGAATGGAGCGCAGTCCACTCGATCACGTGCAACAATGGCATTCGAAAAAAGATTGTTTGTCGGTGCAGTCCAACAAGTATGACTGAATTAAACCGTCTGAAAGTCGAATCCGGGTGCGCAAAACAAACGCTCGCCACATTACCACTAATGTTGCATTGAACAGCATGCTTGAACTGGGTCCGTTGAAGTTCATCTGATAACGCTTGAATTGGCATGCTTCCAGCCAAATTTTCCTGACGGAGCTTGGTCCTGGCGTTATAAGTAATTCTCAGCACAGCCAGAGAGTTGCTATCCTCTTGGCGTAAACACGTCACAACCTGACGGGCGGGGACTCCAAGAAGATACTAATTTGTGAACAGCTGACTTCGATTGCTTGGCCAATCTCCGAATGCTAGGATGTCATGTCGTGTTTGTTAAAGTATCGTGGTTATGACGTTCACAGCATACCTCCATTCTCCAAAGTCCCTGTTGTTTTTTGCCAATAAGCTTTCGTGGACAGCCTATGGGACGGATATGTCGTGACTACAGGCTTCGTAAATTACGGTATTGTCCTCCGCGATCACAGCCCATACGAACCTTGTTACGTTTGTCATCCGATAGCTGGATGGTATATGCGTAGCCGCTTGTCCGACCATTATATCGGACGTGGGCTGCAAGATGTTCGGGCTCAGCGAATGTGATGTCAGGCTTGGAAGCAAATTGATGGTCGATTGAGTGCTGTTCCTCCATTTTTGACCCGTTGCAGAGGTTAGCCGAAGAGAAAGTGGTTGTGTATAAATTGCAATAATGAAATAAGGTGTTGAAGAGCAAACATCAGTGCATGTACCGAGGTTATGGTGATGCGGGATCGGTCACGACGGTACATGGTGTGACACCGGTGTGGTGTTTGGGGTGTATCTAGTAAATAGTGAGGTGTGTATTTGACAATACCCTTAACTAAGGGTTCACTCTTGGTCACTTCACATGAATGGTCATTCACTCACATTTCTGACTACAATTCATATTTTTAAGCTGTGATCAACCGGATCAAATGTCCGTGGCCGTATCGTTAGTGTCTGAGGCTTTAGCAGCAACCTACTTGGCAAAATTGCGCACAACGGGTGCAACTATATTTAAATTGCATGCTTGTAGTCGCCGCCCACTAAGGACGTCTTTATAGACATTACCGCCAGACGCCTTAACGTCTCTGACTTGAAGCTGTACTACTTTATGTTTCTCAGAATCTACACTTCGTGCCATTTGCATCCCGTGTAGTGTATACACATGTCTGGACATCGAGACTCTCACAAAACCATTCCAGGTCTTGCAGTTACGCGATCAGTTGTGTCCTTCCTCCTCCACAATGCAAAGTTCGGCATTATCGCTTGTGTGTCTGACCACATGACAAGTCTGCGTGGCTCATGAGACATGCAACAGTGGCTACCATCATATTAAGACGAAAGGATATTTAGATCAATGTCATATTCATGGAAAATATAGTTTAGGCGAAACTTCAGTTTTGCTTCACACAGCGATCATAAGACATGCTCGAGACTCGCCGTCAAAAACTGCTGCTCCATGTAGCACTGTATAGCAACCTGGTACGATTTTGGCAGCTACTTCTCTCAGACAAAGAGACACAGGGGCGTCCAGTACATTTCCTTCCATTTCTAGCTGCAGTCTCGGTTGATCCGCTGATGGCCGTCCTATTTTCTATTATATATGGTTTCCAGGTTCTTTCATGCGCGTTGCTACTGGACACCTTGTTTCTATTGTCAACACCAGACGTGGGCTTTGGTGCAGTAGTCACAGCTGCAATCTACGTGGTCTTTACGCTCGTGGCCCTCTCGATTCTTAGCAAGACGCCGTCTGCCTTTTCCGTACGACGCCAACCTTTTTCGATCAAGCCGTTCTTTACGTGAAGTGACTTTGTTGTGGCAGATTGGTTTTCTTGTCGGAGCGTCATCGCTGGTCCTTGTGATGGCATTGCAAGGGGCTCTTTATTGGGTACGTGAAACAGTGCTGGCCTGTCAATTGGTTTCTGATCTAGTGATATGCGGGTTATTGGAAGGGACTGGAGGCCCGTAGCAATCCACAACAAACAGCTGCGAGCTGGTTGGCTTCTGGGATACATGCTGTAATTTTTACTGTGCAATTGATCGCGACAAGTGTCGTGGTCAAGTCGAAGGAAGACTTCATCGATACGTATGCAGGTGAAGAGTCAACATTTGCAACGTCGTGTGTTTTTGTATTATCGTTTACTTACGTACTTTGGACTGTGACAGCGTACGAGTATATTCCTGATGCCACGTACGCCGACAACACAGTGCTAGCCAACATCTTGCATACAACGTCGCCTCCTTATTACCGGGCGGCGATCCCTACCGCCGACATATGAGTCGTTAAAGCAAAGAAGGCATTTTGAGTGGATAAATGTCCGTATAATCGACAGCTCAAATTACATGGTCGACAACTTGGGCCGAATTTGTTGTTATTTACGACCCGACTCAATATCTCCATCATCAAGTTCTCGCGTCCAATCGTGCGGCTTCCACTCCTTTAGGAATGCGATCACGTCCCGCTTGTCATCGTCAAGTGAGCGACGATTACCACCCACCCGTCGTCCATAGCTAGGTGGCGTCACACCGAGCATGCCTGCCACGACATCCACGCCAAAGTCTCGCGGAAATTTGTTTTCATCCTCAATCACGTGCGCGTACCCGCTTTTTCGTTCCTGCGTGCACCATGCAATGTGAAAGTATGGAAACATCGGTGGAACGTGTTTCCTAACACCGCCTTTGCTCGTGTCAATAACTGGTTTGTGTGTACTCCACTCTCCGTCGGCCTGCATCAGCTCTTGCTTGAAGTAAAGTGGTATATCCAGCGCCAGTTCAGGATCAACGGGAACACATTCAATCAGCGTGTGCCTTTTTCGATAAGGTGCGCTTGTTTGCTCTATGAATACCATACTTTTGCCGTATTGCTCTTCACACATGCGGGTTAGTGCACTCTGAAAACGTGCAATTTCTTCAATCACCTGCTCATCTGCTTGAACAACAGAGCAAGTGTGATCGATCAACCCAATCACGCAGTGACCAGGATGCAACCGAGGTCGATTCGGTACAGCCAGGTACGTAAACTCGCCCAACGACAGCATCAGGTGTTTCTTAAAGGCTTGACTCTTCATACACAGCTGACACTTTCGTGTCCGCTCATCCCATCCCTTCGTCTCATTTAAAGCAATTCCATGTTCCCGCTGAGCTTGGGCACGCCGAGTCAGATTCGAACCAGGTTGTCGCAGCATTTTCATGTCCACCTGTTCCTCCTCGTCAAAGCCGCTGGGTAGGTTCTGGGCATTCACTTCAGTTCCCTTGTAGCGCGAGCCAAGCCGAACAATATTCTGGGCATAGATCGAATCCATGTTTCCCTTTCCAAGATGTGCACGAGACATTCGCTCCTCTCGCACCAGCGCTTCGAGAGACGCTGCCACACCCATTTCGGCAGTGTCCGTTGAGCCTGTAAGCTTCTTCTTCCCTTTGCGCAGACCGCAGCGCATATCCTCTTTTTCAAGAGGCGGCAACGCACCATTAATAGCCTCGAAATGTGGAACAGCAGCTGTAGTCTTCTCCCGTTCTAGCTGAGCCTCCAACTCGTTGAGTTGTCCTGTCAACTTTTGAAAAAGAGCTGTCTTGCCCATCATCTGAGCGCGCAGGGCTTTCGCTGCCAGCTTGTTTAGCACGGCCTTGCCGTCCTCTTTGTCAGGAGATTGTTTTGCACGGAAATCGGATGTGGACCTTCTTGTAGATGAGTCAGGCGTCCTGTCGACTCTGGATGCAAATGAACCACGCAGCTCGGTTGCAAATTGCGAAGTTGAAGAGTCCGATTTACCCACGACTGAAGAAACAGTAGACTCCTTACTGCCGTATAAAAACGCGTTTCGTTTTTCCAAATCAAGCCCCTCAGCATACGATTCTGCTTTGGCACAGCGGGATCGACTTATCTCGAATTCGGAAGCAGCTGGCGTCGGTACTATGGGTCTCTCAGTCTCCGACGACGTTGTTTTTTGCTGATCACGAATAGCTTTGCTTAAATTTGGGGAGTTTACGCCGCGGTCAATCGATGAAGAATGAGGTCGACAAGGTCGCGATCGAGATCGAGACCGACTTTCTGACCTGCGTTGGCGTTTGGAGTCGTCCATTCGTGCTCTGGCGCGACTTCTACTACGGGTAGGTCTCTTCTGGCGATGATTGCTTTTGCGAGAGCAAGTTGTATCGTCTTCCTGACTGCACTCACGATGACCTACACGCTGAGAAGCAACAGCTCTGGAACAACAGTCTTCTAAAGAAGGCAGCTTGTCGTAATCAATCGGTTCCTCGTCCTCATCCTTCAAATCACCTCTGCGCTGTAACGAGCGTTTATTCGTTTGCAGTTGATAGCTCGAACGATCAACCTCCACGTCGTGTTTCAGCAATGATCGCTGGACTCGCTTCGAGTAGTTCGAAAGCAGAGTTTTATCCTTTGCATCATGCCGCGTACCCAACATTCGTCGTCGCTCTGATGCCATGTGGACAATCTTTCCGTCATCAATCCGGTGTTGTTTATACTGCAGGTGTGCATGGTCCCTAGCTGAACCCCGAGCACTGCTCTTCAGTGCACTTACAGACCCGAATCTCTCGCTCACTACTTTCTCCAAAGCGATGCCTGACGAACGCGCACGATCAGCCGCTCGTTTCAACATCTTCGCTCGCCAGCTTGCCCCTCCATCGCCGAATACCGGCATTTCAGCTTCTGCTTTCTCTGCTTTCCCAGCTTCTTCTTCGACCATTTGACTGGACACTGTCGGATCAGCATCTGGATTTTTTGGATCATGAAGTCCATAGACCATGCCTGTCACGGGTTCTCTCATGCCGGCGTCAATTTCTGCCCGGATCTTCTGTTGCTTGCGATCAGTTTCTATTTCTTTCGGTGATTTACAAACAGTACTAAACTCTGCTTCGAAATTCATAAAGGGCATGGACATCCACTCATCTCGTAGCAAAGAGGTCTTCTTTTTCGTCTGCTTGTTCTCCTCTTCTTCTTTTTCACGACTGTGGCCACCCTCATGCCTGCTCTTGTGTTCCTGATTGTGCGATCTCTCTCGTTTCCTTCTTTTCTCCTTCTTTTCCTTCTTCTTTTTCTGCCTTTCAGGGCTTCTGTTCTTCTCTTCATCATCGTCCGGGCGACGGACGAACGTTAGACGGTGCAGCAGAGAGCTCATTGACGACAAGCTTTTTTTCGAGCGGTCGTATTGTCTTCGGTTGTCGGTCGAGGCGATTTCGACCATTGTGGCCAATCATCGGATCGATTCTTTCTGCACTTAAGTGAGTTCACTAGAAATAAAAACCTTTATTTAAAGCAAGTGGAAGCTGGTTTTTGCTTTTTATTTAAGCATGTTGATACTTTTGATTGGGTTTTAAACGCAAGGTGATGCAAAAACTAAAGTTGCAAGATGTCAAACAAAGTATTTATCCACCCATTTTAAAATATTAAAAAAATCCTGAACGGAAGACTTCGAATTTTATTCGACTGGGTCTTTCATTTTAGACTAAAGTAAAAAGTCAACGTTTAGAGCGCATGTTGAAATTTTCAAAAAAAAAGGACAATTGTCATGAAATAAAAAAATCTTCTAGATAATGACAAATGAAAAAATATTCTAAGAAATTGAGAAATTTATATTTGCCTTAAATTAATTGGAAATAAACGAATCATCTAAATAAATTGAAAAATTTACAATTGTTTTATACAATTGGAGATTGACTAATGCCCCCTGAAATGAGAATATTTCAAAGAATGTTCCACATCCTCGTGGACTCTAGTCTACATGGGAAACACAAATTTTCAAAAATAACACCACCTATGAGCTACCCTAATGTGGCCGTGCTAATCCCCGGATCCAAAGGCAACGCTGCTACGCTCGTAGCCACTAGTGGCGGGCGCAGACGGCACAGGTGTAGGACAATATGCTTGTGGAGTAGGAAGACGATTTGATTCTGTGTATTATTTGCTCTGTCTCCTGTCTGTCTGTCTCCTAGTCACCCTTTCTCCTAAAGGTCTCTGCTCCAACCGTCCCAAAGACAGATGGTTGCTGACCAACTTGTCTACTACCATCTAATACTGACTATATCTGACCAGATTGACGGCTGGCGCTAATCGCAATTTACAATCTTCAACTTCAACTTCCAACACTCCTCCTCGGTTACGCCTCCTTCCTTCCCTCTCTCCATCTTCTGTGTCTATTCCAGCCTTAAGCGTCCTTGTCCTCGCCCTAGCCGATGCACATGAGCTCGCGCAACGTTCTCAGCTTTGTCGCGTCCAGAGCCTTCGTCATGAGGTCCGCCAGCATTTGCTCCGACCGCACGTAGATCGCCACTACGACACCACGACGCGCGAAGTCGCAGAGGAACTTGAGCCGAACGTCCACGTGTTTCGCCTTCAGCGACGACGCCTCGCCGGCGATCTGGCTGATCGCCGCTTGGTTGTCAACGTGCAGCTGCATCGGGAGCGCCGGCTCGAGTCCCACTTCGCGCAACATCTCGCGCAGTCCGAGCACTTCGCGCGCGACCTCGCTTGCCGCGACGAACTCGGCCTCCATTGTCGACAGCGCGACGCCTCCTTGTTTTCGTGCGCTCCAGCTCACGGCCATGCGGTTCAGGCGCACCACGCCGCCAGTCACTGACTTTCTGTCGGACTTATCGGCAGCGTAGTCTGCGTCGCTGAATGCCTCGAGCCGCATCGTCCCGTCCCCATCATACTCGGGCTTCATGGGGATCTTGAGCGCCGCCGTACCTTTGAGGTAACGTGCAAAACGTTTGGCCATCTTCCAAACATGCACGCGAGGCGCATGCGTCTGACGGGTCGCCTTGTGCACCACGAAAGCGATGTCCGAGCGCGTGCATCGCGCAACCTACAGCAGAGAGCCGACCAGCGACTGGAAGTCGCGCACCGTCGCTCCTGTCTTTGCGCCCGTGGTTCCTAAGAGCGCCGTGTCGTCCGCTTCGATCTCGTAGCAGTCGTCGCCGATCGGCGTTCGTGTCGGGTTGGCATCGACGAGTCCGTTGTCTCTCACGAGGTCGCCAATCGCCTTTTCCTGGTCGAGCTTGTATCCTCCCTCGCAGGCAAGCTGCACGCGCATGCCCAGAAACTTGCTGACTTGGCCCAAGTCCTTTATCGAAAGCGACGCGAGGCTTTCGTAGAGAATCTCCACCGCCGCCGCGCTAGTGCCTGTCGCAAGGAGATCGTCGACATACACGCCGACGACTACTAGATCCGCACCTTCCCGCTTCCAGTAGAAACACATGTCGCTCTCGCAGCGCACAAAACCGGCATCGACCAGCTTGGCGTGCAGCAGCAGGCTCCACAGCCTGCCTGCCTGCTTAAGGCCGTACAGGATCTTGCGGAGCTCGAGCACGAGCTCGCTCGCACTTGTGGCACCGTGCGTACGAAGCGTCTCCTCCGAAACCTGCATTCCGCGCGGCATCTGGAGGAAGATGCGCAGATGCGCCTCCTTCTCCGCCTTCACGTACGCGTTTGGGATGCCGCCGTGCTTGGAAGGCACCCCCCACGTGGCCGCGAGTGCCAGGATCACCTTGACCGTCGTGAGATCCATCACTGCGGCAAAGGTGAGCTTATATTCGACGCCGAGCACCTGCTCGTTGCCGCACGCGACCAGACGCGCCTTCAGTCGCTCGAGGTTGCCCTGCGCGTCCGTCTTGGTCTTGTAGACCCACTTCGTTGGTAGCGCGTGCGTCCCTGGCGCGCGCTTCACGATCGTCCACACGTCGTTGCTCTGAAGAGCTGCTACTTCTTCTCTTATGGCCTTCATCCAGCCGTCACGCTTGCCACCGCGCATCGCCTCGCTGTAGCTTATCGGATCGCGCTCGAAAGCCGTGTTCACCACTTCTCCGCTCTCAGCTAACTCCTCCTGTCGAGCTGCTGCTTCTGCACGTTTCGACGCGCCGCGTGTTCCGTGCGCCAATCTCGTCCACGCTATTCAGCCCTTCTTGCGAGCCGTAGCGCGCCCGCCTGTGCTGCCACCACTCGTGATGGCTGCAACTGTCGTCTCGGCCTCCTCCGTGTCACCAGCTCGGTCGCCGGCGTCCATCGCGCGCTGGAGCTGCGCGTTCTGCGCCTCCGACAGCGTCGCGATGTCCTTGACGTGCTGCGTGACGACCACCTTGTTCTCGCGCGTCAGCAGCACCTTTTACCCCTTTGTCTCCTCGCTCACACCGACGATGATCCCGTGCTGTGATCGCTTCAGCAGCGAGTTCTTGCGCGGATCGCGGTAGACACTGCACGGTGAGCCGAAGACGACGATGCCGCGCAGATCCGGCACCTTGCCCGTCAGCATCTCGAGTGGCGACGCTCGCTTCTCGTTTGCGCGCGTCGGGCTCCTGTTCAGGATGTACACGGCGTACTGGACGGCGTCGCCCCAGTACTGTAATGGCAGCGCGCTCGCGAACATCATGCTGCGCGCGAGATTTAACAGCGTCCGATGCATCCTTTCCGCCTTTCCGTTTGAAGCTTGGTTTCGCGCCTCCGACACCTGGCGCGCGACACCCGTGCGTTTGCAAAACAGGTCAATGTTGGCGTACTCGCCGCCGCCGTCTGTCCTCAAGACGTGGATCTTGAACCCGAAACGCCGCTCGAAGTGAATGTGGAACGCCTCAAAATGCTTTGCCGCAGCGTCCTTGGTGCGCGCGAGAAACACGCGGCAGTAGTTCGACTTGTGGTCGATGAGATTGACCAAGTACCGGTTGTGTAGTCGGTCCCGCGGCGTCATCGGGCCCTCAAGGTCCGAGCAGATGACGCCACCGATGCGATCGATAGGCGAGTTGGTGCCGCTGTCCTCCTGCGACTGCGCACTGCGCGTCTGCTTCCCTTCCATGCACGACACGCACGCCATGCGCTTGTCGCTGCTGAGCTTGATGCCCGAGGCCGGATCGCGCGCCATTCGAACGATCGTGTCGAACGCGAGGTGCCCGAGCCGCTGGTGCCAGTGCAGCAGAGTGGCCTCGTGCGCATCGTCTGCGCTTGCTTCTGCCGAATGTGCTTCGAGCGCGGTCAAGATTGCATCGCCGTCGCCGTGTCTCCGACTCGTCGCTGTCGTCTCCACATATAGCACGTTGCTGTCGGTCGCGACGTCGAACGCGACTATGCCGTCACTGCGTCGATCAAGAGCCCGCTTGTCGCCGTCGTAAACGATTCCGTAGCCCTTGCTCTCAAGCTTCACGTACGACACGATATTCTTCGCCAGTCGCGGTGCCAGATACACGTCCGCGAGCGTCACGACCGTCTTTACACCACGCGCGAGGACCTCGAGGCGCACGTTTCCAGCACGCGTCAGTCGCAACGATTCGCCATCCGCCATGGCGATCTCGTGACTACAAGAGGATGAGTCAAGCAGAAGCGACTCGTCGTTCACTAGATGTCGGCTTGCGCCGCTGTCGAGGATCCAGTCGCCTCGCCCGATCTTGCTAGCGTCGTTCGTTGCAAGTACTAGGCCGAGCGAGCCGTCCGTGGCTTGAGCTTTGCCTCTCGCGTCGCCTACAGCAGTTTCCTTGCCGCGCGAGCTCCTCTTCTTCTTGTGGCGTCGTCTCGAGACCGCACCCGGCGACTTTTCGGTCAGCGCTAGGATCATGATGCCCCCACTTTGCGCACGCGCTTCTTCGTCATGCACCACACGCGCGCTGCAGTCGGACGCAATGTGCCCAGGTCTGCCGCACCGCACACAAGATATTCGATTTGGTCAAAGTGTTAATTCACTCCAGCACGCATGTCATAATGTACAGAAATGAATACGCTCTGTCTTGAAGCGTACAATACGGACTTCATCAAGATTTTGTTGGACTGTATCCGCCAGCACTTGGCATGCGGCTTTCCATCGATAATATACGGTGCCACATCATGTACTGTGTTGTTCAATGTGCGACAAAGCTAAACTACTTTTCGTATACTTTTAACGTGAATAGGTAGTAATCAGCGGCACTTCTTGATGTTGTGGACCTACAAACCCGCTATTTTTGACCTTAGTTTTCTCTACGGCATCGAGCTTGGTCCTTTTTTCACGTTGCGATTATGTATTGCTGCAAACTTATCAGGAGTGCTAATCGCCTGTTCGTGTAATACTGTAAGGAGTGGTCACCAGGAGGTGAATATCAAGGTCATCGCCATGTAGTCCACTTAATAATAGTGTATTAGATACAATTTTTGCATAGTATTAGCCTCTGTACCATAAAAATAGAACACTCCTCATGGAATGTCAGTCCGCTACTCCTCCGTGTCACCCACAGTCGGTCTGGAATAAAAAAAGGAGGAAAAATATCGTAATAAAAATTCGGAGGCACAAAGTAGCTGGAATGCCATTGCTGCGCTTGTTACACCTATGTACGCCATTGCACTCAGCTTGGGCAATCCTAGTGGTGGGGCCGCGGACTAAACGCAAGACCAATATTTATTTTGACTACATTTTACATGATGTAAGAAAGTTGCAGGTGTGAGTATATAATCGTTCATTGCGTATTTCGATGGTTGCTTGTTCTGGTTTTGGTCGAAAGCGTGAACTGTTATAAATGCAGGTAGATTGTAAGATGCAATCGTGTGAATAGTTTACTGTCGGTCTCTCATTTGGTGCAGAATTATTTTTAAGAACTGAGGAATGTCCTGACAGCTAATCAGCAGAACTGTCCGCTGAATCGAAGCAAGAAACAAAGTCCATCTTATTATGGCGCCCTAAACTAATTTCAACTACATGGAAGACACTTTGTGCACATCAAGATTGTTGTATCCAAAATCATTCGCGTGGTAAATCTATAAATTGAGTTTAATCTAAATAAGAACAATATTAGATACTAGGGTGCAAATATCGACTTTCAAGGAAGGGCGTAAAACTGAGAAAAGATGTGTGAATGTATAAATTTCTGGTTTTATTTTCGTAATCAAATGAGACCATTTTTTAACCGTCTCTGTGAACAACTTGATTCGGTCTGTATGTACTAAAGCACGAGTGTGTACTTATGAATCTCGCTTTTAATTCGAGGTGGAAGTAGAGCAAGTGGTTTTGGTGGGATTTTCACTTTCTAAACCTTTTATTACTGGCTTTACTACAGTATATGCATGATTACACGATTATAGGATAGCTAATAATCGCATATAACTTTTAAAAAAAGTACGTCTACCAGACTAAAAGTCAGCAGAAGGAGGACAGTATTTTCGGAGCAGGAACATTATGAGTTTTACCTTAAACATGGTCTGTCAATGATGGTTTTGCTTATATTGCAGCATACTGTGATAAATTACTCACATCATTTCGTTAAAAAATAAGAAAAAGCCAAATAACTGACTTCATTTTTTTGCTGGGTCGTTCTACAACACTCTCAATTGGGAGGTACCTGGATCGATACCCGGTGGGGGTTCGATTACAGGGCGCCGGAGATTGGCCGAAATAGTAGACGAGCAACCACGCATGAGTGGCCGCCCTGCCAACCCGCGCTAGGCGTGTGATAGTTGGGTGGGCTGGAGGCCCTACTGGCCGAAAATCCCCATAGCGTAATGAGGGGTGCGGGTCCTGTAAAGAGTTTAAACTAAGTCAGAGTACTCGCAGTTCACCCCAGGTTGATCTGAAGGACCGCGCGGCATAAATCTCTACAACACTCTCAAAAGTTAGTCAAATTAACTTGGAAGTATGCCCTACTTTCCAACAGTAATCTCAATTTGACATTATTACTATTTGCCATTTGCCATTGCAAAGCTTATTGTGGCGATAACGGCACAAACAGGCTAAATTCTGGCCAATATTTTCATTCTACTGTTAGCGCTCTATAAAAAAGGTTTCGCTTTTTACCCCATCGAAGCTACAAGGTCTATAGGTCCACCAGACATGATGCACCACGCGATCGCGAGCGCTTATGGTAGGCGATTATATTGCCTGGAACATTGTAAGTGGCGCACTCTAGCGTGATATTTCAACTACAATTCTCTCACCGAGACTTTAATAACGTTTTTATTACCGTAATTAATTGTACAAGCAGCAAAGCCGCATAGTAAAATTGGACGCGGTAAATTGGGGCCGTAGTCGAGTTGAAAAATGCAAACTTTCGTGTTGTGATCTCGCAAAACCCCACGCGGGCATCTGGAGTGGCTCACAGACTAAACAAACCACTTCTTCAAAAGCGAGGTAGCTGTAATAGATAATAATATCGTATCGGCAAAGAGAAAAAAACGAAAGCGCTATAAATTCTGCTCTTTTTTGTGTGAGGCATTAGTGTAAAGGGATGCTGGTGTGATGCATGCATATAAATATCAGTTTCACGGATAAGGCGTACTTTTCAATCACATACGCTAATCTTTAATACCGTACCCCAAAGGGTACGGCTAGATGATATATATCGTAATAGGGTCTTCTTATCGGCGACGTTGGTTTGTTGGGGTACACAAGAAGAAGTACGATGAGGGCTACTCGATTAGGTAGCATGGTGTTAAATTTAAAAACATAAGTGAGGTTTACTATCGCTATAGAAAAGTAAATATATTTAGTTCTCCTTTCGAACCAGGTCAGACACGTGTATTGCAAAGACGTATTTGACCGTATGAGTTAAGTGCCTGTATTAAGGCGAAGTACTATTGGGCATTAGTGCTACGTGATTCCTTGGAGTCGTATTCTACTGATCCAGGACTAGGAGACAAAGAGTTTGTATATACACTTCGAGTAGAGTCTCACTAATTATGTTAGACTTAAGACTCCTTAAGTCCGTTTCGTTTGATATTCTAATAGACTACACGGATATAGAAGTCTTTCTCTGACTAAGAAGTTAGGGTAGCTTCGCTACAATTAGTATCTGTCTTACCTTCGTGTCCCCAATGTCCAACCAAGCTGATCTCTGCAGCCGAATCTGACCGAAGCTGATTTAGCTTCAGGCTCTAAGTAGTTGGCTGCTTTTTTAACTGCCCTGGCATGCCGACAATTATTATCGTTACTAGTATGATGTGACTATTCAACATTAAAATGGAATTTCTACTAATTGTAGAGTGCTTAAAAAAAGACCAAGAGTTATGTATCACAAGAAACCCCTTGAAGCAAGGAAATCACCGAAAGTCGTTTTTGAAAAAGACTGGTAGGTTGACCAAATTTATGAGGAAAAAAATGCCCCATTAAATGACCAAGATAAAAAGGTTTTAGATGATTGGAAAAAATATATGCCCACGTCCTCGTGTACTCTAGTCAACGTGGTACACATACACCGACATTTGCTTTGATGAAGGACTTAACCTATTGTAATCACCATTTACGCATCGTGCTCATACGTCTAAATTACTAAAACAAACGAGCCCTTGATTACGATCACGTGGATATACACCGATACAGTGTGGACATATATCACGCTCGAGAATCATTGCTACATTACAGCAATACATAATCGCGACGTAAAAAAAGGACCAAGCTCGATGCCGTAGAGAAAACTAAGGTCAAAAATAGCGGGTTTGTAGGTCCTTAACATCAAGAAGTGCCGCTGATTACTACCTATTCACGTTATAAGTATACGAAAAGCAGTTTAGCTTTGTCGCACATTGAACAACACAGTACATGATGTGGCACCGTATATTATCGATGGAAAGCCGCATGCCAAGAGCTGGCGGATACAGTCCAACAAAATCTTGATGAAGTCCGTATTGTACGCTTCAAGACAGAGCGTATTCATTTCTGTACATTATGACATGCGTGCTGGAGTGAGTTAACACTTCAACCAAATCGAATGTCTTGTGTGCAATGTGATTACCTCTTGAACTGTGCAGTTTCAGCTTGCTGTCATTAGAATTAAGTCTTAACAGCACCAACTAATATGTGCAACAGCACGGAAACTTCGCCAATAGCACTGGTAAAGCCTTTTCTAATTTATAGAGTAAAAGTCAAACAGGTGGAATGGATTCGTGATAGTCGATGAGATGATAAACAAAGCTCAAATAACTATAGCGCACGAGCAAGAAACGTATTCCTCAATCAAGTAAACGACAACAACAGCAGCACTGTAGTACCAACTACGCTACAAAAGAGTAGCATCGGGGATTACCCAAACCTCTGATTCGACATGGCCAGCCCAATCGTGATTATTGTGAAGATTGAAGGGTGGACATCAGGTCGTCCATCGAATATCAGTTGGTAACTTATTTAACCCAGCTCATGGTCAATCATATAGCTGTATTCAACGAATAATTAGTTTATCTGGATATGACATCGTGTGATCGTTCTTGTGAGATGGCAAGTGGTTTTTTGGATCAACGACATGAACAAAAGGGCGAGACGGATCTTGGACTTTTCAGCCAGCTGAAATTATTGAATAGCCCTGGATGGCATTTATGCTCATGAATACGCCTGAGATGTACCAGAGACTGTTAAAAACTGCTTTTTGTGAGCTTTAAAGAATTACACCAGTTTTAAAATATAGATAGATCAAATGTTTTGTAAACAATGGCGAACTAGATGAAACGTCGGGTCACTCGATATTCGGTCGACGTTTGTTTATAGACAACAATCTAATTCCCGCCGAGTCGTGAGATAAGTTCTACAAAAACAGATATCTCCTTAAGAGACCTGAGAGCGCTTGCTAGATATGCGAAATAATTTAAATTAGTTGACAGAGCGAT